TTAATTTTTAGCAAACATTACTACATCATTAAAAATATAGCATTTTTATGCTGCATTTTAAGATAAAAACTTTTATTTCAAGTATCCGATTTACTCTTATTTTACGTATCCACTACGTATTAAACGCATTTAGGAAAAGTGTACAATGTCAAAAGCTTTCACCAAACTATTTGGAATGTGATACTTTGTAAAATTTACGTTGTAGGCACATTATTGAAGTCACGGGAATTTTTCTGCTTTATGGCAACTTATATAATAGTATGTATTCTGCTAAGAGCTTCAAATTTTCTATTCCTATATAAATGTAAGGATACTCATCTCCCGGAATAATTGATCGTATAATTTTTTCTTTGAATAATTTTTTTTTGTACTGACTGTAACTCTTTCTTATAAATATAATAAAACAGTCACAAAATAATACAAAAAAAATTTAACAAATAACTCTACTAATAGTTTGGTAATAATATGATACAAGAAATTTCTTAAATATGATTATTTACAGTAGAATCTCAATTTATGAAAATTACTTCCTAGTGGTAGCAGTAAATAAACATCTCTATTTTACGAACATTATTATTGTGTGATTTTGTGGAGTTTTGATATTACGACACCTCTGTATTACCAACAAAATTTTATGGTGCCTTGTGTTCGTTGCGCTTTTGAGATTTTTGAAATCCCGAGATTGTTAAATATTAAGTGCCTTCAAGTTATATTCTGTATTTTTCGTTTTAAAAAATATCTGTGTAGTGTTTTGTACCACTTATATCATACATCATATACATACAATGGTAGATGTTGAAAGTTCAACTAGGGTAAGAACAGTTGTGTCCTAAAATAAATCACCAATAAATAAGAAATGTAATTAAAAAAGTTTTAATTTTGTTTTTTTAAAAAAATTTTTTTAATTTTCATTAATATTTTTGTATTTTTTTTTGTTTTTTTTTTTTTTTTTGAAATTTTTTCATTTTGTTTTTTATATATTCTTACATATATTTCGTTTTATAAATATATATTTATATTATATATAAGAGATTTTTCCTATATTTACAATGCAATAACTAACATTTTAATATTTTATATAATAATTTCTCTCTTCTTAACAAAATTAAAGAGAAAAATTAATATTTTTATTAACTTAAATTTTCCTAGAAAAAAAAAATAAAAAATTTTAAATTAAATTGAAAAAAAATGGTATGTCTTTTACAAATTATGGATTTATTATTTTCTATATTTTTAATGTTTTTTTAATGAAATTTTTTTATACTTATATTTTTAGATTTATTTACATTTTTAACAATTGCAATTAATATCTTTTTTGATTTTCAATGTTTTTTCATATAACACTTTTTTTTTATTTTGTAAATTTACAGAAGATTTTTACTATCACTAATTTTTATAGTTTTTGCTTTCTATTTTTTGTGTGTTCTTTTGCTTTAATTTCAAATAAAATAAATATCTTTTTTTTTCTACATTATTTATATGCAAATTTGATTTTCTGAATAAAATGAATAAAATTATTATAAATTATTGAATTTATAAATAAAAATATATAAAAAAAAATATTTTTAGTAAATAATGGATTAATGATTTTTTTTTTCTACAACTTTTGATTTATATTTGACATTTATTAAAAGCAATATGAAGCGAATGATTTTAATTTATTATTTTTTTTTCTTTCGATCTAAAAGAAATTATGAATTTTCAAATAAATTAAAAAAAAATACATTAATAGTAATAAAATTGTTTGATGGGTAATTTTAAATTAAATTTTTTTCCTATTTCAAGTCCAATTAAAGTTATTCACATTTTTTTTATAAAATTTTCAAAAGTATTTCTAGCTCTCTTGATTTCTTTCAGCTATATATTGCTATATATAAAGTTTTTTATTTAGAATTTTTAGAATGTATAATAATTTTTACTATAAATATTATATTTCTTCGTATGAGATTAGCACAGTGTAAGTTTCGATAATATCAAATGAAAACATTTAGGTACAATGAGCTCTCATATGACGAAGTTTTATGCAAGAATCCCTTTAAATTAAATATTAAACTATGGCTGTTTTAGTCTGGTAAATTTCTAACTACAATTAATATTTTAAAACAAATCAAATAGAAAAGAAAGTTGTTATGAATTTTATGTATATCGAAACATATCAACTAATTTGGAAGACCCATTAAAATTAGAACTAATCTTTGATCTGTCACAATATTTATTATCACAAAAAAAATTCCTACTTCCTGAATCTTTCTAATGAATGAAAAAAATTTACTTTATATTTAATTATAAATGTTTATCTCTTACAAGAATTAAAATGTAAATAAATTTTTTGCTAAAAAATGAATACTTTTTATATTAGAATATTCAAAACGGCAATTTCTATATTTTTAATTAATTAATTTTAATTTCAATATTTAATCTCAGAAAATTTTACTATTTTACATTATAAACAAATAATTTTTAAAAAAATATTTTAATTGGACTTTGCAAATACTTGTAATATTATTGTTGCATTTTAGGAAAATTTTATAATACTATTCTTATACAATTTATTATATGAATTTTTTTATGTATATATTTTATATGTAAGTTTTTTCATTTCTTTCTCTTACAAAAAAAAAATATTAAAATCAATAAGTATTTGCTTTTATCAATATTTTCGGTCAATATTATGTTCAGAATCTCAGTAGAAATAAATATGATTTTAAATTAATTGATTAAAATTTGAAATGATAATTTTCGGATTTTTTAAAATTAGTGAATAAAGAATGATGTGTGAATACTTCAATTATGCGAGTCAGTAATAATTTAATTAATTTAAATTTAATATCTAGAATTTTTTATTATCATTTTTATACTATTTTATGAAAAAAAAAATTAATTAAATTATAATTATTTCAAATTAAATAATTTGAGAAATTAAAATTAATACAAACTCAGATATACCTATCTGAAATTTGAATTAAAAATGCTTGAAATTACTTTGTTGTACTAATTGTTAATAAAATTAAAAATTGTTGTACAGCATATTGTGAAATCCGTTAAAATTAAAAAATTATATGCAATTTTTTTACCTCATAATAATTTAAGTAGCATTATTTTATAATTACACTAATGTACAATAAACTCAAATACTTCAAAACCATATTTTTATGCAAGAGAAAGAAATTTTCCTAACTACACAACATACCCATATAACTATTATAAATTATCAATCTAGTCAGTCGAATAATACAAAAAAAAAAAACAAAAAAAAAATGATAATATAATCAACTTAAAAAAATTCATTAAATTTTTAATTTTTTAATTATTTTTAGCCATAATGAAAATTTATTAAATTTTTATTTGTTGGCATTTTCTATTTTTTAAATAATATTTCATAATAAGTACAATATAATTTTATAATTATGTATGTACATTAAATATACATAATATTATTGTTTATTTACAAAACAAATAAAATTAAAAAAAAATTATATTTTTATTTTAGTCCTTTTTTGCTATCAAAAAAAGTAGAACAAAATATTCCCTAACAGGATTTCGAATTTTATTTATCATTACTTTTTTTTTAAAAAACTAAAATAGTTCTAATTATTTAATAATAAATTTAATAATATTATAAATTTCCTTAACTACATAATTATCATAATTATTATTATTGTTTTTTTTTCTTTTGTATTTAATAATAGTAAAGTTAAACAGAATACATTTTTAATATCACATATTATTTTTAATATAAATTAAATTGGATTTTTGTTTGTTTTTTCTTTTGTTTTAGTTTTTTTTTATAATTAATTTTGAAAAAATAATAATTTTTTTTTAATTTTTCGAAAACATTTATAGGTACAAAAATTTGAATTTATTCTCAAAGAACAAGAACAACGAAAAAAATAAAATTTTAGTAATTTTCATCTGATTTTTGTTACATTGATCTTTGAGAATTACCAAGAACTTATTATTATTATTTTTATATAATTTCTCAAAAGATAAAAGATCACATTGACAGATTTGTGTTTAAAATCTTATAATCAGAAATTTTCTGTTCTCATTTTAATGCAAGAATATGCCAATTCTTAATGTATGCAAAATATAGAACATAATGATATGAATATGTCCTTTTTTTAAAAAAAAATTGATTTTATTACTTAATAGGATTTAATTGTTAAATTGCCATTAATTATTGTTGCAAGTAAGAATACAAATTAAAATTAATGCAAATCTCACCCACAATATTGTGAATGCCTGGAAATTACAATAATTTGCGATTCGAGAAATAAAAATTACATATTTTTTCACAAATTACAAACTAACAATTTTTTTTTTAGAATTTTGATATTTTGAGTAAATTTGCGAAAAAAATACTAAAGCACAGAATAAATAATAACCTTATGAAATACAGAGATCAAAATCAAATGATGTACAAAATAAAAAAAAAACTGTCTTACATTCGGAAAAGAATTAAGTGACTGTAAATTTTAATTATCTTTTATAGCTTAAACAGCATTATACGTACGTAAATGAATAATAAACGGAAATAAATATGTATACCTAATACATTTATAAATAATTTGCCACCTGTACACCATACAGGTGGTATATACGATAATTAAACAGATACTTTCAAAAGTTCTGATTTAAAATTTTGAATTTTTTGTAAATAAAATAACCATTTTACAAAATGGCTACACAACACAAAATTAGTTAATTATTCCAATTAATAAAGTAACAAAATTTATGAATTGAGACTACATTAAAGTACATACAACATAACTTAAGCATATACGTCAGCTACATAGATATGCATGTATTATGAAAAATACAACCACTGTCAAATTAATGACATAGTTTTTCAATATATGCTCGCAGGTAATACTTATTTAAAGTAATAAAAGTTTATTTAACCCTTTAAATATCAAAAATTCAATTTCATTTGAAAAAATATACGAGTAGTTAATTAAGAATCATGAAAGCCTAAATAGAACATTGAATAAAACAATTACGAATAAAAGTATAAAAGAAGAAAAAGGAAAAAAAAAATGCCAAATTTTTACTAGATTGCAAGTTAATTAATTTTATGTGTGTGGTAAGCATAAAAGTAAATTTGAAATGTAATTAATTCTATTTGAACATAAAAAGTACAAAAACAATAAGCAAAATAAAAGAATAAACATAAAAATAAACCACGTATACATATGTATAAAATGGCAATGACATGACAATCTATTTTAGTTATTGAATTTGACGTTAGGTTCTCCTTTCACATCGCCTCCTTCTTTTATAATTTTATGTAAACTATAAACATACGCAGTATTAATGTATATAGCATGTTTATGTACTTCAATGTACCGACCGGCATTAAAACTCTGTCTACAAATTTGTATATATAACACTATAGTTTTTTTCTGTTACAGTACATTAAAATTGGCGTACATTTAACAAAAAAGAAAACAGAAAAAAATAAAAAAATTAAAACGTAACTCTCACGTTCAACAATTATTTTTGTACCTATTGTTATTATTTGTTTTTTATTCTTTTTCGATTTAGTGAACTCATTTTTCCTTAGTTTTTTAATGTTTTATGTTGCACTATGCATTTTTTAATAGGATTACAAAAATACACATGCATTTTTTTACATTATTGCTAATTGCATATATTATACAATATGTATATTTTGTACACAAATCTATTTATTATTATATTATGTAGGTACATAAGTTCATACGTACATAATATGTGTGCATATATCTTACACATATGATTCTTCTATATTATAATATATTTTTAAATCACTATTTTTTCTTATTTATTTTCACACTAGAAATGGTTTAACACCAAAATTATTACTATTATTACTATTGTTACTGCTGTTATTATTATTGTTAATATTATTATTTCTACTATTATTTACATTACCATTGTTATTGTTATTTTGAACGGTTGTTTCTGTAATTAACGTTGAAATATTTCCACCCTCCATTGTTGTTGAAAATGTAGGTGAAGGTGCTGATGTTGTTGCAATTGAATTTTTTATATTTTCTAATTGGTGTTGTTGCTGTTGCTGTTGCTTTTGTGATTGGCTAGGCTGTTGAGATTGTACATTCCCAGAATTATTTGTAATTTTGTGACCATGACTATTATTTGAATTCATTGCACGCCATATTGATGCTTGACTAATTTGCTGTGGTAAACGTTGATTTGGATGAGAATGAATTCTAGGTGTTTGTTGCTGTTGTTGTGCTTGTTGTTGATTGTGACCAACTAATAGTAAATGTTGTTGTTGTTGAGGTGATAAAGGTATTCCTGACGTACTTGTGCTGCTCGTATTGCCACTGCTACTACTACTACAACCATTTGGTATCATAGATAAATTTTCTTGTTGATCGTATACGCTATATTCGGATTCTATACTTGAATAAATATGCTCGGATGGTGGTCGTAAAGGTATTGTTTGACCATCATTCTGTCGGGAATGCATATGATTTCGTGCATGACGTGCACTAAGCCTTGGGCTTGGTGTAGCAGTTGTCGCAGATGAATAATTACCCCCTTCAATATCTTCAGCATAATAAGCTGGAGGTGGTGGAGCTTGTCTAAATATAACACCTGGGCTAATTGGTTGCTTAAAGCGTTCATGATGGTCAATTGTATAATTATTTCCACGAGATGATAATTCAATCGGGATTGCGTAACGTAATTTTTCCCAAAAATATGGATCGTTTGTTAAAATACGATTCGAAGGCATTGATTTCAGGTATGGCGATAATTCGGAAACTTCTTCAGCTATTTCGCATACATCAGTTTCTTCAATAATAACTAGTTTCGTAGGTAATCCACGCAAAGCTTCATGAAAGGCACTGCGAAATTCTGGACGCACCCACTCTGATTGCAGAAAATTTCGTGTTAAAACTAATATAATTTTTCGTGAAGCTCTCGATGCTTCTACTATTTGCAGATGTGAAGCTTCTGGTGGTAAGTCTCTTTGTTGTATGCATAATCTGAATGGAGGTCTGCCGTGCTCTAGTTCACTAGCAATATTTCTACATACGAATTCATGGTCTTTTGAGGAATGTAATATAATTCCATCATACAATTTACCAGCATCTTCCAGACGTGATTCACACACTCTTACACCATAATGGGCAAACAACCAAACTCGTACTGATTCTCTGAATACAAAGACAACAATTAAAATAACAATTAAAAATATTAAAACAAGAACAGCAATCAACAATGGTATGTAGCCCCCAGAAATGTCTTGGTTTGGTGCTACGTTATTTAATCCTTCATATTCTGTACATTCAACGCTATTCGCAGCTGTACTCAAATCCAACTCGCGCTTTATATTACCGTCGACACAATAAATATCTTGGGCATCTTGAATAATCAAACTATTGTCTGCTATAAATTGCGTCAAATCTTGTAAGAATTTACATTTACAATTCCATGAATTTCGACCCAAAGACATAAACTGTAAATTGTTAGTGTTTTGCAACGCTTGTAATTGCGTCATGGGAATTGTAGTTAAGCGATTATTATCAATTCTCAATGTTGTTAATGATTTAAGCGATTCAAAAGCTTGATTTCCAATATATGACAATGCATTATTATGCAAATATAGTTCCTTTAAATGAGACAAACTTGAAAATTCATTTCCTTTAATTACTTGCAACGCATTGTTTTCTAAATGTAATATTTGCAGTAAACTTAAATCGTTAAAAGTTTGATTTTCAATTGTGACAATACTGCTAGAATTTAAATAAAGAGATTTCAAGCTTCTTCTACCGGAAAATGATAAGTTTGATATTATTGGTAAATTATTACCATCGAGATATAAATCTGTAACTTCCATTGGCAATTTACCCGGTAAAACAAAGTTTGAATTTTGTTTACCACAATCAACGATATTTGTTGACCATGTTGCATCGTGGAAACAACTACAATTGGTGGGGCATATCATTTGGCAATCACAAGCGTCGAAATCGCAGCAATGACATAGTGCTGGACAGTGTGCTTCATATTTACACACAAAATCTTTTGAAGATAGTGACACCAATGGCCTAATTGGTTCATTACGGCTACTTGGCATTAAGCACTCGATATTTGCTAAATCTAAAATTTTTGGATGTTGCCGCGTTGTTAAATTGTTGATACGTTGCAACCATTCCATAGAACAATCACATTGGAATGGATTACCACCAAGATAAAATTCAGGAACAGGTTTTTCATTTGGTACCGGTGCTACGCGCAAAGTGTGTAATTGCAATTTCGTTAACGTATTTGCGTATAGATCAACTCTAACTAAACTTGTCTTATCAACAAACGTGTTGGGATGTATTGTTGTTATTAAGTTGTTGTTTATAAAAAGTAATTCAATTGTATTTGGAACTGACATTGGTCCAATTTCTGTTATACGATTGTGACTTGCATCTAGTGTTTTAAGGCTGATTTCTTCTTGTAATTTATAATAATTTCCAAGTGATTCAATATAATTTGCGTGAATATCTAACCATTTTAAATTTTTAGGTATGAAAGCATAATCAAACCAAACTAAGTGATTTTCTGATAAATTTAGCCATAAGAGTGATGCCAGAGCTGCGAATATTCCATTTACTTCAGTTAAATAATTTCTATCTAATCGGATCGCTTCAAGATCTTTATTGCGTTCAAACGCATTCAGTTCAATTGATTGGATACGATTTTTTGCTAAATTAAGTACATTTAAATTAGGTAAATCCCAAAACATTCCTTTAGTAATATTGCCAATTTGATTATCAATTAACCGTAATCCTGTTAACTGGTTTAAATTACGAAACGAGCCGTTATAAATTTCGGCTATTTGATTTTCACCCAAGTCTAATGTTTTTAGCATTGTAAGATCTTTTATTGCTTCTGGTACATCAGCAATTTGATTTGAACTTAAATCTAACTCCTTTAGAGATGAACAATTTCGAAAAGCTTGGCTTTCAATATTGTTTATTAAATTATTATTTAATGTTAATTTCGATAAAATAAACAAACCATTGAATAACCTATTATCGATTGTATGTAAACGATTTTCAGCTAAATTTAATGTATGTAAATTGTATAAAGGTAAAAATGCACCATCTTCAATATGGCCAATAGAGTTATTACGTAAATTCAATATTTGCAAGAAATATAATTCCTTAAATGTTTTACCACCAATTCTTGTCAATGCATTATGGGATAAGTTCAACACAATTAACCGTATTAAACCAGAAAAAGTCGTATTGTCAATATGATGCGATGTCAATTGATTTCCACTTAAATCTAACACTAATAATTGTTCTAAACGATGAAATAAACCTTTTGGTATATCATATAATTCATTATTTTGTAGGTGTATTTCACGTAATTCTCTATTGTTTGCGAATGCACCAGCTGGTAATGTTTCTAAATGATTTTGACTTAAATTTAGCATACGCAAAGATGTTAGACCAGTAAATGCATCCGGTTGAATTTGCGTTATATTATTATATTGCAATTTCAATTGCTGCAAACGTCTCAAACGTGATATAGCACGATTATCTGGTATTAAACGCAATTCATTATAACTTAAATCCAATTCTTGCAATTCAGATCCAGATTGGCCGTTACAAATCCTATCATTTAAACCAATTTCTTCAATTGATTTTAAACGATTCATTGTTAAATTTAATTGTTTTAAATTAACTAATGGACACCATATACCGTCCGGTAATTGACGTATATTATTTTCACTTAAATCTATATATTGTAATTCATTTAAATTAGTGAATGACATTTGATATAAATCTAAAAATTTATTTGGTCCATATTGATTATTTTTTGTAGAGATTTTTAATTTTTTTAATGAATATAAACCATCAAATGCATTTTGTGGTACTTTTTGTAATTTACATGAGTTTATCTGTAATTCACTTAGTGTCTTTAAACGCAAAAATATTTTCGGCGATTGTATTAATTCACTTTGATTTAATAAATCATCATTACATTGTATATCCAGTCTTTTCGGTGATGTTTCAATAATTGCTTGTAAATCTAACGATTTATCTAATGTTCTAATATGACATTTTAATTCATTTGTTTGCATATATTCCCATGTACATTGTCCATTTATTGATCTCGTAAGTAATAGTAAAAACAAAGATAATTTAAATACGATACGTTTTAAATAGCACGACGATGAAAACGTTAAATAAGACGATAAATGGTGTAACGACAAAGACGGTACCGAACTTGGCGACAACGATAATTTTTTTCTATCAGCCATTTTTTCTATCTAGTAAATGAGCGGGTATAGCGGTTTAATTGTTATAAACTTCAATTAATTTTTTTTTTTTGTATTTTTATTAATAAATTAAATTTAAAATAATTTCAACTAAAAATAAAATTAAATTTAATTATAATTTTTTTTATTCATTCCATTTTGTTTTTTAATATAATTTTTGTTTTTCTTTAACTTTCCAATTTTTCTTTTTAATAAAATTTTTTTTAATAAATAATTTTTAAATTAATACGGCTTTATGCAATTAATTTTCTTTTTTCATTTTAGATATCATTGATTTTTTAATTAATTATTCCTTGACATGCCTTTTTATAGATTCTTTTATTTCAACTTTTATTCTTTGCACACACTTATTAAAAATTTCTTTTATTTCTATTCCATACAATTTATAATTTTCTTTTAAAAGAAAACTCTTGTTTAAATTGATGATCATAAACAAAATATCATTTCTTCTTTTCTTCTTTCATATCATTTTTATTGCTCTATTATTTCTTTTTTATTTTGAGAAACACTTTACTTTTTTATTTTTAACCAATAAAGATACATACAAAAATATATCTTTCCATTTTAATATTTTTACTCTCCTTTTAAAAGATATTTTTAAAATTGAAAAAAAAATCATATATTTTTAAAAAGAATTACACATGTTTTTCTTCTTATTTTTTATTATTAAAATATTAAGGTTAAATTAAAAAAAAATAATTTTATGGTTAATTTAGAAAGTGCATCTTAACCGCTCGACGAGTTAACTCAAACTAAATTGTAAAATTTAATGCTTTAAAACTCCTAACCCACAGTCCACACAAAATTCAGTATAACCACAGAAGAGCAACAGCATATTATTATTTAAGTTTTTAACACCATAAAAGAAAAATTAAATAAAAATAAAATAATACACACAAACAAAAAAGCAACTTCTATATAAGATTTCTTTTTTTTTTATTACCTTCCTCGTCTCGCTCACATATGTATATGTATATATAATACACTCATATAAAGTATCTTTAGATTTTTATACTCTATTTTATGCATTCTCTGTAATACACCATTGACAATACAAACGGTTGAAAAATGATTAAAATACACAAAGCATAATACATACTATATTTTTTAGTTGTTATAATACGATATATTGTAATGTATATTATTGTGTATGTATGTATACAAAATACATAAAGTTATTAATTCTCATATGTGTAAAAACTGCTCTCTAATCTATTGATATTTTCTTATTTTTATTTTTGTACTCAATGTATTTTATAATAATTTTTTTTTTCCACTTTAATAAAATGCATTGTAAACTACTATTAACAAAAACAAAAAAAAAAAAACTCTCATTTCGACCTGTTATTGTATGTCACCCAATGTCTCTACTTTCCAGTAGATATAATGCAAGTATATAGGCATTGTATCACACGACGAATATATTTTACATTGCATACAATTTTCTACTATAAAATATTAAAATACAACAAGGACTTCAAAAATAAAAAAATTATCAAGAAAATGCAATAACAAATATTATCATAAAATTTACAATATTACACAGTACAAACCAATGAATGTTTGTACAAATGAATGAATTTATTTTTTATTTTATAAAATGAAATAGAACAGTATAGAATATGAGGAAAAGGAAAATAAATAGTGAGCATGCATGTATCTTTTAGCTTTAAATACAAATATTATTAAAGAATTGGAATTGATACTACCACAAAATATTTCTCTACATATATGGAAAATAAGAAAAAAATATTCTTCTACATATTGAAAAAATCTCCGATACTATCCGTAATTATATTATACCATTATTTTAAGGTATACACTAGAATATGTTAGAATTGTGTCTAATAAAATGTAACATGTTTCGTTGACATTATTACGTAGTTACATACATAAGTACGTATCTAAATTGATCTCTTTTTCATTTTACTCTTTATGTCACAATTGGAGTATCATTATAGCAATAGAATTTGAGATTAAATATTAGAATAACAAAAAAATACTATATAATTTTTTAGTCAAAAAGAAAAACGAATATCGGAATATAAAAAATAAGAAGGCTAAAAAAATTAGAGAAAAACAAATTTTCAAGCTCAATTGCGGCTCAGTTTCTAATCTAATTCATTTTCTTGCTATATTTAAAAATTTCTCTCTGTTATATTAAATTCTATAGTATGTACAAACCAATTATAAATAAGTATAACAACTACAATAAAGTAACTACATATATTGTGAAACACTTATGTACAGAGAAAAATGTGCTCAATTAGAAAACTTTAAAAAAAAATTTTGATCAATATTCAAATAGTGTTACTTTTATAAACAAAATCTTTGCGACTGTTAATCTGTCTTTTCGTCTTTTTAATGGAATGTGTTTTGAACGTATGAAAACAAAATCTGTACATCAATAGATACTCGTAATTCACAGACTAAAGAAAGCAATAATTGTAAACTATGAAGTGTAGAAATTGAATACTGGATTTTTGATTGCATCACTATTTGGTGGGAAATTTTTGTGAAGTCCTACCTAACAAAAAGTCTTGAACATGAGGGACTCATGAGTGACTTTATAAATAATATGGTTGTAGTATTTTCCAATGTTTTTTATGACGGAAGAAACATTTAATTTTTTAACTTCAAAAGTGATGTTTTACATACCTTTAATTATTATTTAAACTTGTATTTTTTATGATTTTTGATAAGTCAAAATTGTTTTACAAAATCAGATGTATGTGTTCACATTATGTACATACATATATTTCTCTAAATGTACTATGTACGTTTGTACAATATGATTATGAGCTCAATAAAAGTATACACTTTGTACAGGTACACACAAGCAATGTACGTACATATATAGGTACTACACCCTTATATTTTGTATATTGCATTTCATTCGATTCAAGTTGCATTCACTTTGAGTTCATTATTTTTCTATATTCCCTTTTGTTCATTTTTTTCTGCTCTTTTTATTTAATACACCGGCAGGTTTTCATACCTATTGCATTTTAGCATAAATGTTAAATATGCATAACTATCGCCATCATGTGTGCATTGTTTTGTATGCTATGTGCATGGTATAGATGCATGTATATAAGTATACGTCAAGTTATACATAAGCGCGTATAATATAAAAAATCTATATAAGGAATAATTATTATAGATGGATTTTATGTTTTGTGTTATGTGTTTCATGTTTTTTATAACATTGTTGTTGTTTTTATATCTTTAGTATTACTTTTTTGTCAACAATTTTCTTAGTATAGGTAAAAAGAAAAAAAAGAAAACATTTTTCTTGTTGTTTTTTGAGAATAAAAATATTAATTCTTTCTCATTTTGTCTCTCTAATTCTCTTCAATTCTCTCGCTGTTTATAAAATTTTTATTATGTATATGTATTCTTTTATTTTGATTAAAAACTAACATGCATTTATGCAGTATTTTGTTCTTCATATTTCACATGGGATATTGTATCGGACAGTATTTTAGATATGGTACTATGAGAGTAACGTAAAATGTTTATAATGCTATGAAAACTATCGAAACTAGAGTACCTATTTCTTTTTACATTAAAAATGCATATATAACATGTAATTAAAATAAGATTTAATGCTGCATAAATATTGTATTTTAGGTATAGATAGATGAAAAATTTATTGTAAATTATGAATACCATAAAAAATATTGCACAAATTTAAAAAAAACTCTATTTTGTGTACGTATTTCATTTTTGCCGCAATTACCGTTGTTATGCAATTAAAAAATTTTAGTTTTTTCAATAATTTTTAGTTTTTTAATTATTATTGATACATTATAAAATATTCAAATTCCAGTTGACTTTGTATTATGCGAAAAAATTATATTTAGTACAAACATTGAATAGATACATTCATATTAATTAATATGAGACTATTTCCGAATTCCGGGGCCAGGCTCAGGTTATAACAAAATTTTTCTGGAATACGTTTCCGAAATATTATTGATTCTTTTGTGTTTAAACAGATAATCAATGTTTTAAAATAATAAAATATTTATTCTACAACGGTAAGTAGAAAATTTTACTCTAACCGCTTTTGAGTCAACGTTGCATATGATGGACATTTTTTTTACACAAAAAAAATTAAATTTTTGAATGAAATTTTTACGAAATTTTTCAGTATTTTTTTGTTTTACTGCTTTTATTGTGTAAATTTATTAGTGGGACGCTATTTCTAAGAAAAACTGCAATTTTAATATTTTCATGTTGTAATATCGAAAATTTTATTCTCGATATTTAAGTATCATGATTGACTGTTGTAATAAGTGTTTAGAACAGTTTTCTTGAAAAATGAATAAGTCAACTACAACGCCATAATAAAAAAGCAAAGTTTAGTTAACCAATGGTTTTTAAAGCAGCACTTTTCAATTCAACAAGTGGAAACGCTGCTTTTAAAAACAATCTAGCTACTACATTCTTAAAATTACTCTTATTCATATACCAAAATATTTTAAAGATTGCATACATTAACGATGATGCAAAAAAAATTGAAAAAGGCGTTAATATAAAGCTCGAATTGAAGGATTAGTTGCATAAGTTAAGAAAAATAATTATATTTTTTGGGGGCATGGCATTTACCGCTACCGCACTGCATTTATAAACATTTGAAAAAGTTTGCAGTTACGTAAATATAAAGTGCCGAAATTCTAAAGTTTACAAATTTTTAGAGACAATGACTTGAGACGGGGTGGAAGAGTAAAAAAAGTTCTTCTAACGATATAAACTATTTCTTGGTATATATAGCGTTTGCAAAATTTGAAAAATGTTTATGGTTTCTTTAAGATAAATAATCCAAAAATGGAATTTTTATATCATTTAGGGGCTATAAGTAATAGATGGGGGGAGGAAGATAAAAATTTTCTTCTACGGAAATAAGTCTTTAGCAAAGATTTATTTATGTATGAAATTTCAGGCTGCTATCTTCAAGGGTAAAATAGTTTTGTAACAGGTCCAAGGACGGACGGTCCGAGTGAAACTAATAAGCACCTTTTTTCATATTTTTTTTAGAACAGAATAAAAATGTCAATAAAATCGTTCCTAATGGGAACTGATATTCTTAAAAGATAGAGCAATTAGAGAAGTGCGGTGAGTTTTTAGAATCGTTTACAGAAGTTTCGTAACCAATCATTAATTAGTTCCGTGCACATAATGTTATGCAAGATTTCATTCATATTTTATTCATAAATTATATATTTACATAAGCTGAATTTTACAAGGTATTTGAAATATTGAAATCAAGATCTATTGTCAGTAATCAGTTTGAGAAAGATTGCGTTAACATTTTGAGCTTCAATCTACGAATAGGTTAAAAACAAATACATTGAATACTACACATATACTACTATAAAATATTAAAAATTTTCTCACAAATACTATTAAATTTTATCATTCTCTGAGTTTCTCCGTGATTCTCTGTTATGATCATTTTTTATACTCTCTTTTATTATAGCCATATTTTAGAGAGCGAGCAATGATCATACTTCCATAAACCTGTGGCTTAAAATGTAGTTTTCATCATGATTTTCCTGTTTTGCTTCGTTTTCAACGCAAAAAAATAAAAACTAAAAATAATTATTTTCTACTTCTTGTTATTATTGTTGGCAATCTGTGTGAATCACTTGTTTTACAGATCATTGAACAAAAAAAAAATTTAAAGCCAATAGATGGCCATACTTGTTCCAGATTGTTTAAAAATTT